CCCCCAAACAACGGGCAGGGGGCATATAGCTCAGTGGTGGACATGCCGACCATCTAACATGTGCAGAGACCCTGACATTTCCCCAGAACCACAAAGTAGGAAGATTAGCTCTGGCAATTTTTTTTTGGGGGGGGGGGTGTTGAGACAGGGTCTTCCTATAGCCAGCCGCCTGCTGTCTGAGAACTCATTATCTAGACCAGATTGACCTTAAACTCAGAGACCCACCTGCCTCTGCCTCCCCAGTGCTGGGATTAAAGGTGTGCACCACCACACCTGGCTTTCTGGGAATCATCTCATCTGTCTTTAAAGATTCTACACTCTTCTCCTTGGGGGGGCAGGGGAGGGGTTTTTGATTTTTTTTTTTTTTTTTTTTCCTTGTGTAACCAAGGCTGGTCTTGAACTTGCAGTGATCCTCCTGTCTCTGCATCCAGAGTGCTGGACTTGAACATAAGCACCACCAAACCTAGGGCCCTTGAAGGTCTTTCAGTGAGGCTAGATATTAACCTTCTTTAAGGAAGACAGTAAAATGCTGAGAGCAGTCCCCTTCCTTTTGTTTTTCTACAGAACAGCCAGTAGCTATTCTCACATGGTCACTACTGAGGACCACATGAATGTACTCCCAGCAAAAAACTATGCTTACTGCTTTGAGAGATGCAAATGCCAAATTCTATAATAGCAGGGCGATCATTTTACCGTTAATATGCTTTTCACTAGTTGCTGTGAGCTACTCCCTTCAACTTTTTATCATTAGCTGCTCCAAAATAACAAAAACGCCATTATAGTTTTATATACTAAGATGTGTTCTATACTAAAATAAGCATCTGATGACAGAGCCGACACTGAGAAAAACAGAGCATTGAGCATACAGAATACAAATAAAAGTTTATTGTACAAAACTAAGGCTTCATATTTTATAGTTCACCAAAGCTCAACAAAGACCAAACCATCCTTCCCCCAAACTTCACCTTCACTTTCCCACCTTCAGCCATTAAAATAACATGACCACATGTCAAAACAAACACGATAAATAACACCAAGTCTCTTAAAAAGGGCTACCCCAAATGTTATTTCTTGGCATAGGTGATCTTCATGGCATGGGATGGTGTGATCTTAAACCCTTGCAAAGCATCTCTGGCAGCTCCAGCCTGCCCATCGTTTTCAAATTCTACAAATGCAATGTCATGCCTCCCAGGTACCAAACGAACTTCTTTGAAACCAGGGAACCTAGAAAGAGCAAAAACAATAACTACATGCAAATGTATAAGTTAAGTTTGTTAAGCAACTTCCTTCCTGGTATTGGTCCAGGAAACTAATCATACCCCACCACAGAATCCCGAGTCTAACATAATTAACACCATCGAGGAACAGAAGAAACCACACTAATTCCATTTTTGACATTATATCAAAGGTTTGTTTCTTCTTTTACACACCAATTAGAATCACTCAAACAGGAAATCTAGCTTTTTAGTGGCCAAGTCTGCAAAATGGCCTCAATCTATGATGAATCCCACACCAAATCAATGAACTTGTGGAGAAGTACTGCAGCCGGGTGAGAAATGGACTCAGTGCACAGAAGTGCTGTTTGTCCTTTGTCCCGTCAGGAGCTCCTGCAAACAGATTTGCTTAGAAAAAAAACTTACTGATTAAACAGCATGGACAACATCATCTCATTAGTCTCTTCTGGTAAGTTATTAAGGAACAAAATATAGTTTGGAGGGTAATCGGGGACCTAGTGAAAAAAAATAAGGTAAAGTTAGTTTGTAAGCATAAATAGCACTGTGAGCCATTTGGTTCTTAAAACCTCAACTTCAAGAGCTACACTGTACTTTACACAGGCCTGTGAAACCTTAACACACCAAACACAAAAGCTGAAAAACAGTGACACCAGAGAAACAGGCACAAACCTAAAGAAAAACGGACAGAAAGAGCCCCTCACTTCGTCAAGCTGCCCTGCCACATCTGTGAAGCCCTGGTAAAGGAAACAAAACTGCTTCCTCCCAGCCCTCAGAGTTTCCAATCTATCATTTCGTCACTGATTAGTTATGGGCAACAAGGAATAAAGCCAGATTTTCTTTCTTTCCTCCTAGAGAAACTTAGATGTTTTGAGGAGAGAGCGTGTTAAAGTGATAGGTGATTTAATACATTATGTCTTGTAAATGGAATAATTTTGTGTTTGCAGAAGTGCATATTATTTTATAATGCTATAACTTTTATGATTTTAAGGTAAGTACCATTTGGAAAAACAATGTTACCTGAGGGTTTGGTGTTGAGTTTCCTTGGGTATTAGCTGAATTTGGTGTTCCCTACACAAAAGAAATAGGAAAATGCTTAAGTTTTAATCCTGCTAAAACCACAACAGGCATTTACAACATAAAAAGAACACTAACCGGAAAAGACTGCTTACTCCATTTCTTTAACTAACTCAAACATTCATCTATTTATTTAGCTTGTCAGTTATTTTTGAAGTGTCTATCTCTAAACTCTAAAGACCGTATCAAACAACTTAACATCTGAACTTTAAAATGATGGGAGTTTCAAACCCATGTGTACTGAGTGGTGGTTCACTCCTGTAATCCCAGCACAAGGGAGGATGAGGCAGGGGGATCACAAGTATGAGGGCAGCCTCCACCTAAGCTTTTTTATCTCAAAGAAAAAAAAAAGATGGAGAAAAATAAGGATCAGTCTTACTTTTTAAAAACAACACGATAAAAGCAGTATACCGAAAGTGATTTTTAATCACTTTTTTTTTTTGGTCTTTTTGAGACAGGGTCCCCCTGCAGCCCCAGCTGGCCTTGAACTCACTATGTACACCAGGCAGGTTTTGAACTCACAGAGATCCGCCTGCCTCTGCCTCCCAAGTGCTGGGATTAAAGGCATGTACCATGACGCCCCACCTGTTTCCTACATTTT